GGAAAGGGAGAGAGACGACAGAGAGGGATGGAGAAGGTGAGAGACAGAGAGGGAGGGAAAGGGAGGCAGAGAAGGACAGAGACAGAGAGGGATGCAGAGGGTTCATGAATAGGCCTTGATCGGGGTTTTTAACCTGGGATCGATGACCTTGGTTTTTTGGGGGTTTTTTTCACGTTGACAACTCTGTTTCACTATAACTGGTTTCCTTTGTAATCTCGTGCCTTCTGTCTCATACAAATAAAAACACGATGGTGAGAGTCTCTCCGCTTCCCTGGACTGCCAAGAGATGCCTGACCCAAGTGGTGGTGAGCTCCTGCCCCTGCCCCCAAGGCACTTCCGGGAAGAGGGTCCGGGTCCCACCCCCATGCCCACCCCACCCCATCCCAGGGGATCTGCCCCAGAAGTCACTGGGCATCCCAGCTGCCTCCTCACTGGACACAGACCTCCTGCAAAGTGGGCACCAACACCACAGGCCAGGGCAGTGTGATACCTAGACCGGCACCCAGGACTTCCCAACACTCTCTATCTATCACCCCACCCTGCCTACTTTTTCTTCATGAGGGAAATCAAAAGCTCCTTCATTAAAGGTTTCACTTCTTCCACTGGCCCCAGTGCAGGGCTGCACTTTTGGGGGAACCCTGGGGAATGGTGGCTGAAGAACCCCACCCCACTTCCCAGCCTGAGCAGCCCCCAAAACCTTCCAAACCCAAATGGAGCTGCAGTCCAAGGAGACACTGACATTCTGCCCTCCAGAGCCCACTGTCCTCTGCAGCTCTGGTGAAGATGCAAGAGTGCCTGCCCGACAGGGGAGAAATGAGGAGGAAAAGGGTCTTTTCAGTTTATGGAGCATTTGGGCGGCTCCTCTATGGAGAATCTGTGGGGAAATATGGATGAGAAGGGGTGGAAATCTGCACCCGGGGAGGGACCATCACTGTGCCTAAGCTCACACATTTGCCACAACACCAGAGCAGAGCTTTGGGAAAGAAAGGACTTGGGCAGTAAGACGACCTTCAGAGCCCATTGAGCATTCACCAAGAATGGCTGATTGGGGAACCCCCTCACCCTTTGAGAAAGGAGCACTGAGTCACAGCCGCGCATCACACATGAGGCGGGGGATGGCCTTTGGAGAGCTCCTCCCAGACCCTCCCCTGTTTAAGGAGGAGATTCAGCTCATCATTCCCCACCCAGACACTTTCCTGGACCTCATCATTTCCAGAAATTCATCATTCTGCAAGATGAAATCAGCTCAGAAATTCTCACCTCCCCAGATCATCCCTTCCTTTATGTATCTCCTCTACTCATCAGATTATGAATGCCTGGAGGGCAAGGGTTGCTTTATGCCTTTCTCTGTGTCTCCAGTGGTTGGCACATAGGAGGTGCCTGATTAACATTTACTGACCCTGGTTAACGCACAGGAGGCGGCTGGACCTTATGTCAGAAACCAAGGATTTCAAATGCAGTCTGCTACTAGCTGTGTGACCTTGGACAAGTCGCTTAGCCACTGTCTGCCTCAGTTTCCTTATCTGTAAATTGGGGATAATAGCACTGAGGCTCAGAGGAGACGCCTCACGTGAGTGCTAGTTACTGTTACACAACACGAAAAGTTTTTTGCAAACCTTAGGATGCTAGAAAGATGTCGGCCACCGTGGTCATTGTGAGCTCAAGGTCAAACCACCCCCACCCGGCTTCTTGCTGAATATCTGTTATAATTATTCAAGGTGAGAGATCCTGCCAGAAGCAAGCAAGCACAGGAGAGATCGCAGCTCCTGGGGCGAGAAGCAGGATTGAACAAAGACTGCTGGGAGAACTGGGAAGCAAATCTGGCAGAAACTAGGTCTAGACCAGCCTCTTGTACCATGAGCCAAGGCGAGCGCCAGGTGGGTCGATGGCTTAGACAGACAAATAGGAGCCGCGAGGACGGTTCAGGTCTAAGGAGAGGGGAGACTTCACTGCCACACAACAGACAGAGAGAATCAGCATATGAACAGACCTTCTGACCTCAGAAAGTCAAGAAAGGTTTGCAGGAACAAAACAGGAGTCGCTAATGGTAGGAGGCCGGTGCCTACAAAAGTCTTCACAGTAAGCGAGGGAGCCAGCATCCCTGATGCAGATCTCCATCCTCCCAGTGGGTAAATGGTCACACAAACAGGCAGTTTCGAGTGGAGTATTAAGGTCTCTAAGAATCAATGAGGGGGAGGCTTTCAGAGAAACCTGGGAAAACTTCTATGAACTGATGCAGAATGCACAGAAGAGACGTTTACATGATGACAAAGTGACTTTGAGAGATGTAAGAACCCTGACCAAGGCTGACTCCTGCAGTTCCAGGGGCTGTTGAGGCCTCGCGCCGCCCACCTCCGGCCAGAGACAGGTGGCCTCTTGGAAAGGCCCACGTGGGAATCTGAGCCTTTGCTATCAAGGTTTTGTGTTTCTTTCTTTTTGAAGGGGGGAGGGGAGAAGAGAAGGTGGATTTTCATTCATTGAAATAATTAAATTTCAAAAATAAAAAAAGGTCGGATACTTATGTCACACTCCTTCTGGCAGGAGCCGGTTGGAGGGTACTGCGCCCCAGGGCATCGCCGTGTAGACCAGCTGGACAGAGCAGCCCTGCTTGAATGCTGGGCCCCGGATAATGCCCGGCAGCCAGGACTGCTCTCCTCTGCTCTCCTCATAGGAAAGAGGCCAACATCGGCCCCCAACCCCGCCGCCCTGGGGGCCGCCTACAGCTTCTGCCGTCTGGGCAGCAGGATCCTCAACAAGACCCACCCAACCAGGAAGTCTGGGAGGGTGCGCGAGGAGAAGGGGGTGCCCGGGACATGGCCCGCGGGCAGTGACCCCAAGGACCTGGACAGCCCCCCACCCCTCTGATTTTTAGAAACGGCAGTAACTGCACTGATCCATTTATAAAACAAATAGGAGAAGGCCCAGTCTCCTACAGCCGCCAAATCTCCCCCAGGCCCAGGTTCGAACCCTTCCCCCAGTCCCACGCTGACCTCAGCTACAAACCATCTTATACCCATGGGGGCCACCAGGGGGTATCACCGCGCACAGAGCACTGGGCTTGGAGTTGGGAGCTTCAGATGCCACCTAGCTGTGTGACCCTGGTCAAGTCACTTCCTTGTCGGCCTCAGTTTCCTCATCTGTAAAACGGGGAGAATGACAGCATCTACCCCCAGGGTTGTGAGGATCAGATAACACAAAACTTGTAAGGTGCTTGGGACGTGGCCTGGCACATGGCAGGTGCCATCGTCACCATCATTATAATTATTACTACACATACCCTCACGAGAGCCTGAAGTGGGGGAGAGTGCACGGATTATCACTCCACTTTACAGATTAGCAAAGCGAGGCACGGAACAGTGTGGTGACTTCAGAGGTAGCACCACCAGGAGGTCCCAAAGGCAGACGGGCCCCAGATGGTCATCCCCTTCCTCCGGCCGCCCCCCTCGCTCTCCACATCCCTGAGCTCAGCAGGAGAAGCCATCCATCCACGCGGCCGTTTTCTATGGGCCCACACCCACCTTCGACACCCAACCTGGACACCGACTCCCTGTGTGACCAGAAGCTCCCTAGGGCGGCAGGGACGGCTCTGGTCTGTGTGTCCCCAGTGCCAGGCACAGCGTCCCGGGTCTACTAACACACAGCAGGCACCTGGTGTCTCTGGACCAAGGGAGGAAACATGGGAGGGACGTTGTGAACGACCTCAGCAAGCTCTCCCAGCCCCTGTGAGCCCCCACCCGCCACATCCTCAGCGGCAGCAGACGGCCCGCCCTTCCTCACCCCAGTGTCCCTGATGCCAGTCCAGGCTCAGGGTGGTGCACCCAAGCAGGCCTCGCTGGGGGCAGCAAGTGGGCCCCCAAACAGGAGGGGAGCCCCACAGCTAGGAGCCGGCTCCCGGCACCCCCCTCCACAGCGGCTGACATCCCCAAGCGGAGCATGCGGCATTTCCGAAGCCCTGAGGTCACTTTATTGGCTGCCCCTCACAACATCCCTGTGAGGTAGGTGGAGCTCCCCCAGACGGAGGGTCAGGGGCACAAAGAGCCCCAGGCATTCCGAAGTCAGGAGCAGCCTCCACCCACGCACCCATGGCCACGAGAGCCCCGCCTCCACCGTGGTCCCCCGCCTCCACCGTCCGGACCTAGAGCCTCCCGCCCTCCTCCTGTCTCAGCCTCTTGGAGAGATGCTCGCCGATGGCTCTCAGAGGGTCAGCTTGATAGGAAGGGCTGGTGACCACCTCCTGGAACCGGGCCATCTCATCGTCTCTGAAAGAAGCAGACAGGTCAGCGCGTCAGCTGAGGGGCCGGAGGCCCCTCTGCACCAGGCTCAGGGCAAAGCATTGAATTCACAATTACGGCCTCCCTCCCAACAACCCTGGCAGGGAGGGGCTGTGATGAGCCCCGTTTCACAGATAAGGAAACTGAGGCAGAGGCGAAGTGACTTGATCAGAGTCACACAGTCAGGAAGCGTCTGAGGGCAGATTTGAACTCAGGTCTTCTTGACTCCAGGCTCCAGAGGTTCTGTGCCCCTGGCAATCCCTCACTGCCCATTGGAGTGTGAGTCCCTTCCCCTTGTGCCTCAGTTTCCTCTACTGTAAAATGACAGGGTTTGACCAGATGACTGGGAGCGAGCCCCAACTCTGGTGAATGCCAGAGAGACACCTTGCCTTGAACCCGCTACCAGAACCCAAAGACTTCCTGCCCCGCCTCTGCATCTCGAGGCCGGCCATCGGTTCCAGGCTCCACAGGTGGTCCTCCCTGGCCAGGGCTGTACCACAGGACAAAGCCCAGTCTGGGCCATCCAGAGGCCCAGAGGGCATGAGCAGAGACGAGCCAGCACTGGCCTGAGTGACCGTTCACTTAGCCAGGGGCCGGCAGGTCCCAGGGCCACCCCAAGGAAATCTGGGGCCAACCTCGCAGGGACCTAGGGCCGCCCACCCATAGCTGGCAAGGATGACCACGGGCCCAGCTCCTTGGCCTGGCGACACCCTAGGGGCAGCGTGGTCCTGACCATACTCACAGGAGTCTGCGCTTCTGGGCCGGAGTCATGCGGCTGAAATCTGTGGGCTCGGCCTTCCGCCTTGGGGCGCTGTGGGAAGGAGGACAGTGCAGGTCAGCAGGACCTTTGTGGTGTCCGGGAGAGCTTCCTTGGGCAGGGTCCGCTCACCAAGTGCGTTGTGGTTAGGGAACACCTGCCACCCGCCCAGCAGAGGCCTGGCTCCCCCAATTCCCAGCCTCGGCCCGGGGTCCTGCCACTCCCTAATGGTGGATGGCATGGAGAAACGGGCACGGCGGCCTGCCTGACGGCCTGCCGGGCCGGGAGGCGGCAGTCACCTCAGGATCCCCATGGACAGCATGGACATCCCTAAGTTCACAAAGCCCTGCCCTCAGGGAAGCCCCTCCTTCCCGGGCAGCTGAAAGGGGCAGGGGCCGCTCCTCACAATCTCCCCATTCCCAGAACTATGCCCATAGTAGGCACTTCATGAGAAATGTTTGCTGCTCCAGAATGAGCTTCCCTGGGACTGGCGAATCTCCAGCCCACCACCTCTTCCAGGCTGCCCTCCAGGCTCTCCCTACCCTGCCTGCCACCTAAGCCCCTTCCCCCTGAAGGCACCCTCCACCCTTGGACCACTCCTCACACTGGAAGTACCCTGGGCCCTGGCAGCCTCTTCATCAACTGGTTGGTTCCTGCCAAGTCGAAGGAGGAAAAGCCCAGGCCAGGTGCAGTGTCGTTCCTCTCCAGGCTGCCCTCCTGTCCTTCTGGACCGCCCCCATGCCCAGCGGCTGTGAAAGCTCTGGAGGGCAGGGGCCATGTTTCCCTCTGTTTGCCTGACACATAGTAGGCACTTCATAAGTCTGCTGCCTTCACTCCCCACCTGGCCTGTGCTTATGTGGATGTCCCCAGGCACCTGCTCCCCGCCTGGTCCCAGGACAGGTCACTCCCTTGATGAGGGGCTGGCCAGAGGGCACCATTCCCCTCTTCCCTGCCTACACAGTCACTCTTGTGAAATCGGGAGGTCAGTTCAGACCGGGCAGGGGCAGAGAGGCCAAAGAGTCTCCTGTGGATGCAGAATGGCCACCGCGGCAGGTGGCTGAACCACAGGATGACAGGCCCGGAGGGTGGGCCTGAGGAGCTTGGGCACTGGGCCTGTGAGGACCACCCCCCAGAACGCCGAGCACCAACTTCACCAATGAGCCGACTGCTGTCTCAGAAACCCGTCCCAAGATTCCAGAAATGGAAGCAGACCCATCGCGGTCCATGTCATCCCCCTCAGACAGGCCAGAGCCACCGAGAGTGACCAGGAGCATCCACGCAAGGAGCTGTCCACTACATGCATGTATACCACACACAAACTACACACTCACAACACATGCACATGCACACATATACCTACACCATAAATATACACATCACATACATACATACCACATGCACACATACACACCATACATATTCTAACACACACACGATGCATGCACATACATACACACACATACACAGCTACCACTCATACACCACATGCTCACACATACATGCGTGAAAGCACATAAATAGATACACACACATATACAAATTACATACTCACACATACACATACACCAGAAATACTCACATGTACATATACCACACCCACAAATACATGTACTCATACCATACACACATACCGCCCACACACAAACCCCACTACACCACCACTCACAAAACATTCAGAGAACCAGAGGAAGGCCTCTGGCGCACTGGGTCTTTCTTCTTTGCAGGGGTTAGGGAAAGGCAGGGCTAATATCTCAGCCTGAGATTAGGATGGGTGGTGATCAGCTCCAGCAGAGGGCATTAGACACACTGGAAGACCAGGGTTTCCAGGCCGCAAACAGCAGGTGATCTTTCTTCTCACTCACAACACTCACAGCTGGCCACCCCACACTTGGTGATGCCTCCGATGGTCTTGCCATAGATCCTAAAGGCTTCTCTCTCCTTCCCCACCTGCATGATAAGCTCACCTTTTTCTCCCCACGCATCAAGCACACTGTTGAGTGCCTACCTGGGGCTTTGTCAATCCCTCCCTCCTTTCAAAGGTACAAACATTTTGTCCAGGCTGCTGTCTTGGGGGGGGGGGGACCATATTTCCAAGAAAGCCCCTGAGGGTGATTTCCCTTAAAAGAGGCTGTCATCAGAACGCGTCCCCTAGAGACTGACGGGAGATGCCAATGCACAGTTGTTGGGGTAGTGGGACAGATCCTCAGGGACCAGCGCCATGGCCGTCAGTATCAGCTGAAAGAAAACTCCTCCCTGGGAGGGGCATCACTCCCCCCCAGAAGCTCCAGGTGATGGTGGGGGGGAGGTAGGGACACAAGACAACTCCTATCTGCGTGCAGACGACCTCAGTCTCGATGGGAGACAAAACTTCCAGAACATTTACCTGCCACCAAAGAGATTTCTCATGGGCCATTTTCCAGGTCCTCTGCAGGCTGGCCGTGGTGGGGGGGGGGGGCGGGTGCCACTGCCAGCTCTGTGCCCCATGCTGGCCACACGGCCGACTGGTGACGAATGTTTGGTGAAGAAGAAAACACGCTAGATGAATGCAGAGCAGGAAGTCATTTCCCTCTTCCCACTGGAGGCTAAGCTCCTCAAGGGCAGGGCTGGGGCAGGGCCAGAACAAGTACTTTACACCAAAGCAGGGGCCTCAATGTGTCCAAAATGGACTCATTCTCTTTCTCTCTGAACATCTTTCTTTCTTCTCTATCACTGTAGGGGCACCGCCCTCCTCCCAGGTCCCCAAGCTCACAACCTAGGAGGCACCCTGGACTCCTCATTCTCTCTAATTCTCCAGATCCAATAGAGCACCAAGGCCGGTCAAATTCACCTCTGTGGCATCTCTGGTCGATTTCACCCCCTGTGGCATCTCTACAGCATCTTGTCAATGTCACCTCTGCAGCATCTCTGGTCCAT